TTTCTCTGAGTCACAGGACTGACAGTGACCACTAAGCAGGTGGATTGACCATGGCAGGAGACAGCTGGATGCATGAGGCACCCAACCCCTCAATACATATCTCTCATGTCTACCACTTTGGCTCCGTGTACACCTTCAGAACAGAATCAGTAGATGGGGGTACTTGTCATTTTGATTTGAAACAGAATTCTCCAAATATTTCAGGTAGTCCTATTGACTCACTAGATCTTTAGACTTTCTGAAATATCTCCAAGCGGGAAAGTACATACTTCTTTGGAAGATTCTAGTTAACTCTGTGGTATGTGACAGTAAAACTGGTGAATAAAAAAGAATCTCTGTATTTCCAGTTTTGCAATTATTGATGTTTTGTGGACTACTTAAATAAGATTTTTTAAAAATTATAGTGAATCATTAGAAACAGTTGTGCAGTATAAATCTCACATGTTCTCAGATTTATTGTTATAGCTGCTTTTATGGGTAATTTTTTTTTACATCTTTAAAAGAAACCTTAATAATGTGTTAAAAAAAAAAAGTGTCACTTTCAAGCCTTTGGATGATTAACTACCTGAAGATATTTCTTTCATCCATGTTGTTTTATAAAGGAAAGCAAAAACGACAATAAAAGAAATGTACCAATTTATTCTCTACTAATAAAGTATTGAACATTAGTGAAAAAGGTATGAAATATTGGAATGCAACACAGAGCAATTCCATTACCTATTGCAGTTTTGGGTCATATACTGTATATAAAGAGTAATTACTTCATTGGTTAGAGACCACAGTGGGGGAATATAGAATTTGATGAAAGAGATTTTAAAATAAAAATTTTATCCCAAAGTATTTGTTTTCAAAACGTGCCAACATTACAGACTATCCTACTTTGTTTTTGGTGGCCAGGAGTGAGTGACTGCGAAAGCACACATTACCCTCCACCATGCATTTTATTTTTTTCCTGAAGATTTTATCTGCATGATGAACTTGAGGCTAGATCAGGTGTCTACAGTCTATATATCTAAATTTTATCAAGTATTTTTCCTTTTTTATCTCATAAAGATTCTGGACAGGGAAAGAAAGCATCCTGGTTAAAATGGTAAGGTCACATGGTAGAATATGGCAGGAAGATACTTCGGAATTGTCAAGCAGAGCCCCAATTCACTTTCCCCCCAAGTATCCAATTCTTCTTCTAGAGAGTGGAGAGATACATACACATTGCAGAATGGCTGTGTGAGGTTAAATAAGTTGTGGAAAAATACATTACAGAGCTTAATAAATGTGTATATTCTGCTTCTTTCTGAAAGTAATTTAAGAAAGCATATAAAAATGCATTAAGCGAAAAAGATAAAATGGACTAGAGTGGAGAACTATGCGTACCTTGATGGTGGGTGTAGTGTGCTAACATACAGTTGAAAGGTGTGATCCTATACCTCTAAATCATATAAGGTGTTATAAATCAATGTGACCAATAAAAATGAAGATGAAATAACCCATGTAAAGTCATACTTGATGAATATCAATTCCTTTATTTCTTCTGCTAGTCTTCCTTCAATAACAATATTAGAGAAAATCAGGGAAACATTCTGATTATGAAAGCGAAGTATACTAATTGCAAAGAATTAAGCATTACAGGAAGGTATGAAGAAGATAAGCTTCCATTATAGTTAACGTTTTGTTACATGGCCTCCAACTTTTTTGCAACCTACCCAGTTTTTAAAGTTAGAATTATACTCTAGATCCATTTATTTCCTTTTTTATCAATATTATTTGATAGTAAGCATTTTCACTATTTGATTTTCTCTTTAAATAATATTTTATATATCTCAGTTGTATGTAGCATAATTAATCCCACCCATCATGTTGATGATTTTTCTTTTATTATAAATAAAATATAAATGAAAAAATTTTCAGTTACTTATTGAATTTATTGGAAATCCCATCCACAATTTTTCATGTTTATTGTAATTTTTTCCTACTTAAGTTTTTTAAATTTATGATGATTTTTAATGTAAACTTTTAATTTTATGTGACTTTTGCTAGCATTTTCCTTTGTGATTTGTTACCTATATTTTCTTCTGTTTTTACAATTCATTTTCAGTTTTTTGCTTTTTAATTAATCTAAAATATACTCAGGGCTATATATTTGAAGTAGATTTGGGCTATGTCAAATAGATTTAAGTACTTACTAAGGTAGGATTTAACATAATTTTCCCAAATATTTAACTCAACCATTCAATAATAATGCTTCCATTTTTATAAAGTGTATATGATGCTGGCATCTTATACACCAATCTTTCTTTCAAATGTTAATTATTAAATATCTGGTACAATAAATGTCTTCTCATTATTTCTCCTTTGCAAAAATTTCTTGGTTATAGTTATTCATTTATCCTTCCAAAAAAATTTTAAAAACACTTTTCTCATTCACCCCATCTCACACCATTCTAAACATTTTAGAATTTGCTTGATTAAACCTATAGTTTCAAGTTAAAAATAAAACATATTCATTCAACATTCAGTGTCCAAGTACACAAACACAGAATCTCTCATTGCCTTATATTGATTGCATACATTTCTTGTTAAGGTTATGCTTAATTATTTTATATATTTTTACTGTGATTGTGTCATGATTTTCAACTGGTAAGACATTATTTTCAATGAACTGTCATTGTGTAACCAACATGCCTCAACTCCAGCTTGATTTACGCTGCATGTAGAAAAATATTTACAAGAGCATTTTATTTCATAGACATGAATGTAGCCAGTGCCCGTGAGAAAACACTGAAGGCCATGCAGATTATTAGATCAGACCAACTTTATGTTTATGAAAAGAACTAGAAGAAGCCACTGGTTATCCATTTTATTCTAAAGTGTACAATTGCATAAATGAAATGAGCGATTTGTTTTATTCCTGAGGTGGAAGACAATACCCGAATTTGATGAACCCATGTCTGTAACAAGTGAAGGGTAACTTTTGAAGATAGTGGGGATCCTGAGATTAATTGTTCTCTACACTTGAGTCTTATGTATCTCATCTACCTCATTGTCTGACAGTCCGTTTTGACATAAGCAAGATGAATAATGTAGATAGTACCTCTGTGGGAATTAAATTTAAAATGAAGGCTCTAAATAACTGGTATCTAAAGATCACATTATAAAACTGGCCTCCATATCCTCAGTCCCATTGTATCCTGTTGTCCTTGGAGGCTGCACACACACACACACACACACACACCTGTCATTCACTTACCCTCGGTTTCTATGGTGGCAGGATGCCAGCCCCAACCAAGTGTTCACAGTGCAAAGTGCTTCAGACTCTTCTGAAATGAAAGTCGGTATGTAAATGTGCAACATGACGACATTATTATTCTAGCTTCCTGGCTGCTTTCAGCAAGCACTGACTGCCACATGAGGTCTCAAGTGTTCTGGCACAGCGTGCAAGTGTTCAGAAGAAGTTAAAGTAATGAAATTGGATCTACATTTCCATAGATATTCAAGCTGGCATGGAGGAATGGAGTCATGGAATCAGGGTTGGATGGTCTCCACCACACAGCCTGGGCAAATGCCTGTTATGCCAGGCTACTAAGCAGAATTTTTCAATCATGAAAGGCCACCACTCTTTCTTCCTTTGGGTTTAAAATGACAACTTTGTACCTTTTCCCCAGGTGCACACCACTTTCTGGGTGATTTATGCACAATCCCCACCTAACCATTCTCTGGAGCACACCAGCTTTGCTTCAATCCAACAAATTTTAAATTAAGAACTAAGTACATAAAAGGGAAAAAAATGTTTAATTAAAATCCTAAACTAGCATATGCTACAGTATAGAGTGTGTGACTGTTAATCTTAGGGGAGTGGGCAGACTCACACTGTAGCTCATCTAGCGAAGGTACTATCTGGGAAGTGTCCACTTAAGTTGACCTTGTCACTGTTTATGCAGTTTTCATTGCTCAAAATTCTTCTCATTTGCATCCAGCATTCTGCGCTGTTGAAATAACTGGGCCATACCAAACTTAGGCCTATGTATGGGGGGAGGAAGGAGGTCAAAACTGCATCTACTAAGTAATGAGACTTGGTAGGCCCGGGCTCATTCTGAGACCTGATCTGCAATTCTAGGTTTGGTCATTCTGCGACCTGACCTTTTGTCCTTTTATGCCTCCTCGCCTCTTGGCTGAAATGTTTCTGTTCCTCTGGGCAAAAGCAACAGAATCCAAGCCCCCTACTTTGCAGATATCTTTTTTTTTTAAGATTTATTTATTTATGCACACAAGAGCTGGGGTACAGGCCAGAGATACAGGGGGTGAGAGGATTCACCAGAGACAGAGTGGGGAACAGAACAGGCAGACTGACTGAAGTACACTGCAGAGGGGAGCAGCGGGCGAGACAGGAGAGGTCTGTTGCACCATGTGGGTTGCTCCCTGGCTGGCCGGGGATCAAACTTGTGTGCAGAGGCTGCAGATTGCTTCATAGTGCGGTGCTTAACCCCTTGCGCCACCAGGGAAGCCCTAACTTTACTTTTTTTTAAAGATAAAATTTAAGCATACAAGAACTGGAGCACAGGCCAGAGGTACAGGGTGAGAGGATTCATCAGAGTAGGGAGCAGAACAGGCAGATCTACTGAAATGCACTGCTGAGGGGAGCAGCAGGCGAGACAGGAGAGGTCTGCTGCACCATGTGGGTCACCTTCCTGGCTGGGCATCAAACTATTGCTGCAGTGGCTGTGGATACCTTCATCGTGCTGCGACTTAATCCCTTGTGCCACCAGGGAGGCCCTTTGCAGATAGCTTTATAGTAGCACATGTCCATGGTGCTAGATAACTTTCTTCCTCCATTCATGTGCTGAAATATTTGTGGGCTGCAAGTACCCGCCCTCCCCTCCACCCCCGCAACACACACATTCATACAAAGTTTATTTAGATTTAAAAATTCAAGAGAATTCAAAGAATTAAGCACTGAGTAACTTTATTTATACCTATTCTCTTCTTTTTTCTATCTTTTATTTTAGGACAGTGAAAAAAAGGGATTTATAAATAAAATCTATGCCATCCAGGAGGTATGTATCAGTGTCCAGAACATCCTAGATGAAGTGGCTTCCTTTGGCGAAAGGATAAAGAAGTGAGTGATGCTGACATGTGAGCTCTGGCCTTCTGTGGGACAGTGTCCATTTGTTTCTCAGAGGTGGAAATGCCACATTCTTTTTGGCAGGGGACACTCCTTCTGGATGATTTATTGCTCAGTTCCATCATTATTTACTTTGTTTCTGCCAGCCTTTGGTTTTATGAAAGTTCTGTCAATTTCCTTCCCAAAATTTAGAACATATTGGTTGGAAAGAAGTCATACTTGTAGCTGAAGAAATAACACCGTCCTAAATTTTAGCACATTTCCACAGTGAAACACTTTGTTCTTGAACTATATCTGAAATTGTAATATAGAAAAAAATAAGCAAAACTAAGTAAGAATTTCAGGTAATCAAGACAGACCTGCATTTTATTATTGGTCAAACTGTATCTTCATTGTTACTCTAAATTTTAAAAATCATATAATGTGTAGCACCCTGCAAGAGTATTCTTTCAAATTTGTGTATTTAACTAGTTGAGATTTTAATTATAGATGGAATAAACTAATGCTTTGTCATTTAGAAGATGTACAGAATTTTCATAATAAAAATTAACTTCTTTTCCTTCTTCTTTTGAAATAATAAAACAGAGCTTCTTGAGATCCATGTAATATTAAGAAATGCATTTAAAATTTTACATGAGTTGTGTTTTATGTCAAATTTTATTTGCTAAACATATTTTTTAAACCAACAGTTTAATTACAACAATGAAATTATTTATAACAATTATCAGTAAAAAAAATACTAAACCCTATACTAGTAAAGTAGTGAAAATTGGTGTACATTATGATTGCTAAATTGTATATTTAAGAGGGGGTGCTGCACATCCAGAGAAGCTTACATTTCCCTAGTTTCATATATCTGCTCATTGTTTATTATTCATAACCAAAAGTGCATTGCAGATTTGGATCCTTGGGCATACGCAGAATTTGAAAGGAGTAAATTATTTAAACTAAAGGTGTGAGTCATTCATCCGGTGCCTTTCATGTTTTAAGGGCTAATGCATTTTATTTTGTATAATTTTTTGTTTAATACATTTCCACATATGCATAGGTGCTGAGTTTCCACTTTCCTATATCATATTAGACAGAACAGCCTCCCTCTCACTCCCAAATGTGCATCTAAGCAACATTCAGTCTCAGACTTTTGAAAACAGATTCCCACAACTTTCTCTTTCCTTTTCCTCTTTACCTTATTTCCTCTTTTAAGAACGGGCCCTTTTCCTCTATAGTGTATCCACTGAAGGGGAGTGTGAGGTCCTAAACAGTACATTTCCTGAGTAAGTGTTGTCCTTCCTCTGAGGCACACTGTGTATCGATGTCTGACAGGAGCATCTTATTTATAGCAGGAGACACTGGGTCAGCTCTGCCCAGACTGGTGAATGAGAAAAAGTCTTCTTTGTAATACTGGATGGCGGGAGGTCTTAGAAAAGGTGGTTGGCTAGAAAACATGGTATCAGTTGAAGGATATTATCCTGGCTGGAGATCAGCCTGGTGACAAACTAGATTTTATAGAATTTTCTGTAATTGTCGGTAGAGTTATAGATTTAGGTACAGGCATAGGCTGAACATGCCATGTTCCTGTAAGTGTCACCTTTTCGGCCCAATAATCATCTGAATACTTAAAAAGAGAAATTCCCCTAGGGTCACAGATGAGAAGATACATCTATCCAGAAAGCAGATTCAAAATAAATTTTTAAGTACAAAGTGAAGTCTCTATAACTACCACATCTTGTTACTAAATAATCATTCCAGAACTTTCTTGAATTGTATCTCTTTTTTGGTGGGAAAATCAAAATCTAGATTTAGATTCCATAATTCAGTGTGGAAATAGAAAACGGTAGTCTTTCCCCTCGCCCCCCTCCCCGACATCAGCTACACTGGTAAGAATCCTTTGCCACTTATCCTGGGTAAGGAGAACACAGGAGGCCCTTAAGTGAGGCTGCCCAGCAGTAGAGTTTTCAGAGTGAAGAGCCAGTGCCCTCACATATGGAGCAGTGTGATGGATGGCTCTGAGCTGAGCCCCAGGAAAGCAAGCAGACCCTAAGCCTTCTGTTCTCTCCACAAGCAGCAGAAAGAAGGGAAGCGCAGGTGCCCATAAAGGAGGGAAGGCATGATCTTCTACCTGGTGACAGCTACAGGATGCTCCTGGGAGAAAAAAGAAACAAAGACAGAAAAGCCAGACGCTAAGAGTCCCTGAAAACAGGACATCCAGATAGATCCAACTTTGGCTCTTTTACTAGAAAAAGACATTTTTAGGCATCATTGGATTTAGAGAGTCATAAAAAGCAAATATCTACCACAAAGCTAAGGAATAACTAAGTTGTGTTCTGCCAAGGCACACACAGTATAGGAAGAAAATCTCTTAACAATCATCCTGTATTGGATCAAAAACTGCACCAATAAACCCCACCTCAAGTGACTATGGCATACATACCAGGAAGTGAGAAAAAAAATAGAAAAAACACTAACATATATTCACGTCATGTATAATTTCACATTTTTTTGAAGAGTCTTTAGAGCCCTTCTCACTGCCCTGAAGAAAAGCCATACTTTCCACTCCTGGGGGTGATTAGCTCTAATAATATCACTGCCATCACATAGCCCTGTTACCATCATTACAGTCTCCCTTGATAAAATAAAACCTATCCTGATTTTATAAAGCCATAAAGAGTTTCACACATCTAAAGTCACATAGATGACTCCAAGTTTTGAGCACAGATCTTCTGCCTTCTTAACTCTTTTCATTAAATGCTGCGAAAGAGTGATTCAACAGGATGTGTTAGTCGCTCTATGGAGGCTGAACGCTGAGGAAATGGCATGTCTGTAATAGTAATGTACTCAGCCCTAAAGGCTGCATGCGATGCTTCACTGTTTTCTCTATAATTTTGTGACTCTCACTTAGAAACCACCAGAGAGGCCCTGCAGAATAGCTACATGAGACCGTAAACTGTGATCGTCTTTCCATATTTTATTTCCCTGATTTTCTATATTGTCTTTTTTTGCCTTCTCTTTTTCCTTTCTCTCCTCCTTTTTTGTCCCACTAAGTTCCTTCTCATCTAAATACTGCCTTTTTGGGGATTCCCCTCCCCTGCTCCTATTCATTGTTTCATTTCTGTTCTTTGTTCGATATCTCGCTGTCAGTACTCAGTCTTCCCTGACCCTCCACACCATCAATCAGCAGCCACACAGGAACGCTGCAGACACACCAGTCAGCGCTCCCATACCCCCTACTTTCTCAGCTTGCATGCTTTTTTTACAGTTTTTCCAACAAATCTACCACATGCCATGCCTTCCTTTGACAAAGGTAATATAGGGAGACTAGTAAACAATACTGACTTTATTTCTAAGTTATCTAAATATTTCTGAGAAGGATAAGGACGTTAAGTGCATTCTTACAAGGGTAACTGCCCTGTTCTCCTGCCTGACTTCTAGTTCCATTTAAATCTAGCTGAAGTAGGAAATGAGTATTGTTTTTGTGAATTCTAAAGTTCAGAAGATTTACACAATGTGTAAGGCTTAGGTCTATAGAACTGCTGGAAACACTTTATTTTCCAGTGTTGGGGGACCCAGTGGAGTACTGATGAAAGAATGTAGGTCCAGAGACATTTCCTTCTATGAAAATTTAGAGAAAACAAGATCAGTTACTTGTTTTAGAAGTAGAAGATAAAAAATTCAAAAAATATATATAATTTACCATCTGAGGATTCACCCAAATAGTGCACTAGCCTTAGAGCCTGCAGTTACCTGGTCTAAAGCTTAAAGAGGTGAAGGCAAGACCCTTTACCTCTATGTTGGAGCAGATGGTGACTAACCTATATCCTCTGATACTCCTACAATTGGCTTCTATGCGGTCTTGCTAGATCTCAGTTAAGATTTTGAGTTACAGTCACTCTTATTTTAATCTGTGCTTGAAAAAATATGCAAGTGGTCAGACTGCTGATGTGTTAATTTCTCATTTAGTACTTTCAACTGGACCGTCCCATTCTTAAGCTGGCTGGCCATCGTAGCACTCTGTATGTTCACAATCATCTTGTACTTCATTCCACTGAGATACATTGTCCTTGTCTGGGGTAAGTAAAGGCTTTTCTTACTTTTTTTTTCAAACTGTCTTAGCGGCTAAAAACAAACTATTTTTAAGGAATGAATTATACTGTCCGTAGTTCCCTATATTTATGGTCATGAAACTACTCCATGATGAAAAGAGACAGGTCAGTTAAAAAATCACAATAGTATAAAGATTTAGGTCTACCTGCAAAATGCATTTTTCTTATCTGGCACCATAGGCTCCATCATACTATAAACATGCAGTTGTGTAGCTTCTTCATATATCAAAGTGTAGCTTTGTCTAGATATCACTCTGATTTATTTTCACCACTTATACGTAAACAGAGACATTTCGATCCATATGGTGCATTTAGGACAATATGCTTTTGTGCTGTGGTACTTTATCTTGTGGAAATCTGTAAACATGGTGCTGTATATGGCCACCTGTTTAAGAGGTCACCTTTAGGATGTAGGAAAAGGATTCTCGGCATTGATAGGTTGCTTAGGAAAACAAAAACCTGCTTTATGTGTACTAAACAAGTATGCAGCTGCAAAACCCACTTCAAAACAATATTTTTAATGCATTTATGTGGCACGCTGACAATTCCTACTCAGACTCCACTTAGGTGGTAATTGCTTCAACATTCTTCATAGGTTTGTGTTTTTTCCTTATCTGACAAAATTCTTGGTTTGGAACATTCAATTTTTAGTCTCTAGCCTAGATTGACTAATATATAAAACTATGACATTAATGATATAAACAAGATTGGGTAGAATTCTCTACTTGCCCCTGGCCTGCATACACCTAGGATTGCTAAATCTATAGGAAATGCAGGGTAACAAAATGAGTCTTAACTCCAGAGAACATGTGCATGCATACCTGGAAAGCAAAGAGATCAAAGGGCAGGTTTTATTCTTTTAAAAAGATTTTAAGGAAATAATCTGTCTGATGCTCTCAGCTTTGTTTCCTGTCTTCTTGTTTTTCTTTTTTTCTTTCTTTTTTTTTTTGGCTTATCTTGTCATTTCTACAGCAAGCCTTCTTACCCCTTATTATTAGTATCACTACCTTTACATCTTGGGTAGGAAACTGAGGACAGGGAAATGGTGATTTCTTTTTCTCTTTTTAATGGCTGTAATTTAAAGAAACAGTTTCAACTAAGACACTGAGTTTCAACTTAGATAGCATTTTCACTAAACAAGAGAAGAGGCATATCCATCATGTTCTTGCCTCCCAGTTGTATGCTCCAGCCCCTGTCCTTCATTCCTTTCTCTGATATTTAAAACAGATGCTGTTTTATTGAAGGAATTAGGTAGGGTGTTAGGTGTGCCAGTTTATTACCTCTAACTTGCCGAGGGTCAGCCTGCCATATCAGTTATGATAGAAGGGGGACCTGTAGTTTTGTTTCCCCACATTCTGAGAAACTAGAGTCTGTGGCAAACATCTGGCCACGTAACCTGGTGTGGCCTTACTGGCTAGCTGTCTTTAATGTAATTTTTAGAGAATGTGTTTGGGCCTCTTGTTTCATCAAATAAAACAATACAGGAACAGTATTCCTTTAGTGGTAGGTGATTGCTGAAATATTAACTAGAAATTTAAGACATGGATCTCACATGGGGCGAGAGGGACCAAAATCATGATTGCAGTTTGTTCTGCTGAACTCCCTGAAAGAACCAAGATGCTGCCATTTATGGCCCAGTTTTTACAATCTGTCAATTTCATATAAAGCTGTTCATTTGTTTTTAATGTAAATATGTTTGGTAATTTAAGTGCAGTATAAATTTAAAAATTTTAAAAATTAGATCTATCCCACTGAAATTATAGCATGTAGAATGGAGACTGGATACTTCCAATTTTGTATATTATTTTGACATTTCTATCTCCCTTTGAGTTTTTATAATAGCTCCAATTTCACCCGTATTTGCCCTCATCCACACTAGTTCTTCAGGTAGTGCAGAGGAATTCACTGTTTAGTATGGGTAGAGAGGGCTCATCCATATGGTTCTTGATCATTCTAATCCAAAAGTGATGCAAGCAAGTCAATCATGGCAGTATCTTTTGCAAGCACTGAATTTATATTTATTGTAATTTGAAGGGAAAATTGGATTCTAAAAATCTCAATGTTAGAGATGTAAAAATGGAAACCTTTTTTCTTGTGATGAGGTCTTCCAAAATCCACTTTCTCAGCAACTTTCTAATGTGCAATGCGCTATTTATTATTGTCACATTATTTCCACAGGACTCACCTCATAACTGGAATCTGCACCTTTTGTGCCCTTTCCCCTGCTCCTCTCCCCTCACCCCATGCTGCTGACAATCACCAACGGTTCTCTGTATCTATGGGCTTGTTTTTGTTTCTGACCTTTTTTTTTTTTTTTAAGATTTCACATAAGTGAGATCATATGGTGTTATTCTCTAACTTATTTCATATAGTGTAAAGTCTTCTAGGTCCATCTATGTTGTTACAAAGGCAAGATTTCCTTTTGTTTTATGGTTGAGTAATATTCTATTACATGCATACCCCAAGTTTTCTTTATCCATTCGTCCATTGGTGGATACTTGTTTCCATGTCTTGGCCTTTATAAATAATGCTGCAATGACCATAGGGGGGCAAAAGTCTTTTCAAATTAGTGTTTTTACTTCCTTTGGGTAAAACCCAAAAGTGAAATTGCTGTATCATATGCTAGTTCTATTTTTAATTTTTTTGAAGGCCGTCCATAGTCTTCTATAGAATTATACTATATTAATATTTCCACCAACAATGCACAAGTGTTCCCTTTTCTGCACATCCTCAACAGATGTTTCTTGATTTCTTAATATAGGCCATTTTTCCAGGTATTTCATTGTAGTTTTGACTCACATATCCCTAATAATTTTTGAGGCTGAAGTCTTTTCCTGTTCCCATTGACTATTTGTAGGTCTTTTGAAAATGTCTATTCAGATCCTCTGCCCATTTTTCAATTGGATTATTTTTGCTATTGAGTAATGTGAATTCTTACATTCTAATATTTTGTATATTAGTCCCTTATTTTTGTTTTTGTTGCTTTTGTTCCGGTGTCAGATCCAAAAAAAAAAGATACTGCTAAGACTCAGTCTCCAAGAGCTTACCCACTATGTTTTCTTTTAACAGTTTTATAGATTCAGGTCTTACTTTCCACTCTTCAATCTATTTTGAGTTTGTATCTGTGCATGGTACAACACAGTGGTCCAGTCCTTTTGCAGGCATAAGTGGTCCAATCCTTTTGTGGACGGAAGTCAAAGATAGTGGTCCAGTCCTTTTGCTGGTGGAAGTCAAATTTCCCAAAAACAATTTGTTGAAGTGATTATCCTTTCCACATTGTGTATTCTTGGATGCTTTGTCAAAAATGATTTTACTACACAAACATAGGTTTATTTTGAAACTCTCTGTCCTGTTTTATTTAACAGTGTGACATTTTTATGTCAATGCCTTATTGTTTTGATTACTATAGCTTTGTAATATGACTTGAAATCAGGGAACATGATGCCTCTAGCTTTCCTCTTCTTTTTCAAGATTACTTTAGCTATATGGGTATCTGGGGTCTTCGTGGCTCTATACAAGTTTTAGGATTGCTTTTCTATTTCTGTTAAAAAGGGCATTAGAAATTTTTTTGTTAATTCTTCAATCCACGAGCATAGATATCTTTCTACATTTTTGTGCTTTCTTCAATGCCTCTCATTAAATTCTTATAGTTTTCAGTGTACAATTCTTTCAGTTCCTTTGTTATGTTTATTCCTAGGGTGGTTTTCTAATGCACTCATAATGGATCATTTTCTCAATTTCTCTTTCTGATATTTTGTTATTAGTGTATATAAATAAATAGCTTTTTAATACTGACTTTTAGCATATAAACTAAATTTATCAGTTTTAACAGTCTTCTATGTATAAAATCATGTCATTCACAAATAATGATAGTTTTATTACTTCCTTCTCAATTTGGATGCCTTTTCCTCTTTTTTGCCTAATTTCTTACTTTCTTTGGGTAGGACTTCCAATACTGTGTTGAGTGAAAGTGGCAAGAATAAGCATTCTTTTGTTGTTCCAGAAAAAATTAAAATTAGAACTATTATATGATGCAAAGAAAGCGAAAACACTAATTCAAAAATATATATTCATCTTCATGTTCACTGCAGCAGTAGTTATATTATATTACATTAGCCAAAATTGGAAACAACCTAAGTATCTATTGACAGGTGAAAATATAAATGAGTGTGTGATGTATATACACAACAGAATATTGTGCAGCCATAAAAAGAAATCTTTAAAAACAAAGAAATGAAAGAAATCTTGTCATCTTTCATAACATAGATGGATCTTGAGAGAATTATGCTAAGTGAAAAAAGTTAGACAGAAAAAGACAAATACTATATGGTCTCACTTTTATGTGAAATTTAAAATGAAGCATAAAACAAAACAAAACTAAGCTCCCAGATACCGAGAAGAGATGGGTGGTTACCAGCAGTGGGGCGGGGGGGAGAGGTCAACATAAGTGAAACAGATGAAGGTAATATAGAGGCAGAAATTTCCTTATACACTAATAGGCAATGATATATTTTTGCAAACTTGAAAAATTGCTAAGGATAGGAACTTGACTTGTCACCATTATATATAAATGTCATTATGTCGTACATCTGAAACTAGTAAAATGTGTGTTGATTATACTCCCAAAAATTAAAAAAAAAAAACGAAAAACAAGAAATTCTTCATTACATGCTAAGAAACCTAAAAAAAACACAAAGCCCAAACAGTTCTTATCCAAAATGTAGGGAGACAAGTTTCATTCAAAAATATATATTCAAAAATATATATTCATAGATGGAACATTAAAGCATGGCTTCTATAACACTGAGGAAAAAAGTAAGTTATGTCATTACTTATTCTTGCTAGATGCCTTTTGCTTCCCAAATAGAAATCCTTTCCTACTAGGAAGAAATCACTGAAGTAGAAATGAAAAATAACAGCCACTGAGTTGGGAAGGAGGGAGGAAGTAACAAAGGATAGAAGGAGGAAAAAAAGGAAAGCGATGGAGAGAGAAAACTGGGTTTATGGGTTCATTCAGTCCAGGACAAAGGCAGCTTAATTTAAATCTTCAAATCACTGTAACTTTTGCCATAAATGTGCTTTGTATAATGTTAAACTTTGGAGATTTCAATTATATTTGATCTATCACTCCTTCAGGCATCAATAAATTTACAAAAAAGCTTCGGAGTCCATATGCAATTGACAACAATGAACTACTTGACTTCCTTTCCAGAGTCCCTTCAGATGTACAAGTGGTATGTAGATTTCAGCGCTATTACTAATTTTTTGGTGTAGCATGACATTGGATTTTACCTTTTACATCCTTTCAACTCCAAGGTTTTTTGAAGTACCAGGTAAAGCCAATAGAAGTAGCAGATAATGCCATTTGGGAACTTAGCCCACTATAAAGCTGAGGCTATCGGCGGGGGAGGGTGAGAGTAGAGAGGGAAGGGAGGTGGATATAATGGACTATGGTTGCCTTGGTGGTGGGTGTGGTATGGTAAAAACACCTGAGCGGTTGGATCCTCTATTTCTGAATCACATATAGTATTGTATACCAATGTTACTCCAATAAAATAAGTTATAATGTAAAATAAAATAAATAGAAGAACTTGTATAGAAATTGGGCACTGGAGAATGAAATGGGCATGCACAAAGAACCTACAAGAGTTGTCAGGGACAGTCTTCCAATGAAGGTGACTAGAAGTCACCATTACCTGAGGGAAGGAAATAGGAATATTGGATGATGAAAGCAAAAATGTGCCAGTGGATATTTGTGAGAAAAACTTCTTTATATAATTTGCATGAACTAAGTGAATTTTAAAGATGCATATTTTGGAGATCAGTGAGTGGGGATCGGTGACTGCTTTTTGAAGACTTGGGTACTTCTTAATCCTTGAAATCCTTGGAGGTTAATGCCCATTAACCATAAACTATTTTCAGAGTAAAATGAGAAAATGCTTTTATGAAAATCTTAAAGCTAGTTTACAGCAATACCTTTCCCTTTAGTTACATTTTTGATGGTATCAAACTTGAGTGGCTGGAGATTAAGTCTATATTAAACAATAAATTACAAAGAAATATTATCTGGACCTTCAAGCTAAGTGGAGATAGTTTTGTTTTTAATGTAACCTGCTATAGACAGTGAAGAGCCCAGCCTGTTACCCAGGTTCCCATCAGGGCTCTCATGTAGATTTTGGCAGGATTTCCTTCTGACTCCTGCTCTATCATTCCATTGTTTTCTGCATCCCAGCTGCAGATCTCATACAGCTTCCAGAGTGAGCAGTTTTATCCCCCAAGCATAGTCTCTCATTCCTTTGCTTTCTTTCCTTTGCCAGAAAGTGGCCACCTGACCAGTCTTTCTCTGAACTCTGTTTAAACAGGTGCAATACCAAGAACTGAAACCAGATCCTTCTCATAGCCCATGTAAAAGGAAGAAAAACAATCTTGGGTAGCCAACTCCCAGCACTGACGAGACCAGCATCTGTTTGGGAAGATAAAAGAAAAAGCCTTTAGCCTCAGCAGCATTTCCTTTCTTTCTGCTTTTTATTTATTTTGCCTTTTTATCATGATCGAGGGAATTTGTAAATAGTGTACAAAGGCATATGTCTTTGAAAATATACTTCCATTGTACAGACTCAATTTGATAAAGGTTTAAGTTACTGCTGTGTGAAAAGCTTTGCTAGAACAACAAATGTAAGAATGGTAACACACTGAAAGATACATACTTCTCTAATTACATGTGAAAGAACCAGAATATTACATTAAATGCTCAGCTGTGCTCTGATTAAATTGACATAAAATGTAAATGTCTATTTGATTTTAAAGTTTTTCTTATGTGACTATTTTTTATCTAAAGAGTAATCCATTACAGTTTTCTATGTTTTATACATTTCAAAAGGGTGGGGAGGGGAATCCCAAAACTGAAAAGTGGAACAGATGCATTTCAATTTAACGTAGATTCTGACACCAGATTCTGACATTCATTCCTGTGCAAATTATTTAGATATGACTAGGCTGATTTTAAGCTAATGAGTGAAGGTATATTCACCCTCTCAAGAGAATTTTCCACACTCTGAAAATCAACCCTGCAAAGAAAACTTAAAACATTCTATTATTCCATCTAAAACCTTAAAATCTCTACAGAACTACTCAAAAATACTGCCAGATTTATAAATGATTGCCTATCTAAATTTTTATATCTACCACTCTTTTAATTTATATACTAAATTAGCAAATTAGGAGCACAGTTCAGTTGTCAAAAATACTAGTAAATAAAATCCATATTGTTTTTGGTGTTAGATCATACCTCTGTGCATCTAAAAATATTTAATGCTCAAGTGTTCTCACAGAAAAAAAGTATCTGCTCTCTCATTAGGATACTGAAATGCTTTAATATATACCATGACTTTTGTTATTAGTGTGAATTTTAATGTAGAGGAGAATGCAGTGTGCTAAGTGATATGCCAGTGTTTCATCACTTTATTTTATGGAAAAAGTAATCATTCTTGGTAATATGAATGCATGAAAACCTATTTTGTAAAATAAACTGCACATAGGGAGGGAAAATTTGCCTTCAAAACTCTTTCACTTCTTACCATAGAATCTATACTTAAAAATTACATTCCCAAGACTCTTATGGTAGTTTTTGTACCTAACTCCCTGTTATATCAAGGGACTGTACCTATGGAGAAAGATCCTCTGGTGAGAATGTATTACTTCCCTGATTTGGTAGGGAATTGAGCTTGGTTGAAATTGCTGCAGACAATTGTTTGCACTACTTTATTATAGAAAGGGGGTGGGGTGAAGGTGGAGGTTTTGCTGGAAAAATGTAGAAAGCCAGAAGCAAGAAATATATATTTATTCTAAAGAAAGGCTCTTAAAAACTATTCTTTAAAAATAAATTTGATCTCATCAGAGCTGATTTTTAAAGTATTTTTATTTTAAAGCTATGTTGTTAAATACTATTTCTTATGACAAAACTATTTTGATCTGTTTATATACTATGCTTGAAAGAATGTCAATTAAATCCCTTTCTACAGAAAGGCTTTGACCTCAATATGCTCTATATTTAGTGTATCATGTTTATAATGACATGCCTACATCTGCATACCATCACTGTCTGTTGCTAACACATAATACTCCATGAAGTTGATGTTATTATAGGAAGTTTATTGATGGGATAATTTGAAATAACTTTCAACTACACCTGTATGAGATTTATGTTCTCTGCTGACATGTCTACTCAAATGTCTACAAGCCTGATATTCTACAACCTCAGATGTACCTAGTAGATAATAACCATTAACAGATGACTTACTTCTGTTTGCTTCATTCTATCAAATTTCAGATGTTTGGTGCAATGGTAATGTTAACTATACATTCACTGCATTAAATAAAAAAAAAATCTTTTCTATGTATAACTAGTACTTTTTTTTGTGGATGAGAGAGAAGTAATGGAGGATTGTGTGCATATTCTTACAAATGACACTTCACTTAGGGAAACCAGGTTTATTTTGCTAAGCAAGACTTTCCCTGAAACCCTGACTATTGTATAAAACCTAATACCTTTGAAGAAGTGAGGCTCCAATGAAGCAGATAGAGGAGTAAGAACTATTTTAAATCGAGAAAATGCTGTTCAAGGGAATCTTCATTGCTTTTAGAAACAACAACTTTCATCTGAACAAAAGACTATTCTAGTAGAATTTTAACTATTTCTTTTCCTTCATCAGATAGTTCAGTTGTGCCTTCTAAAAGCTGCTTACCTTGATTTTATGTTGAGAGATTTGTAATTATTTCAAGATATCTTTACTTAAGAGTTTGGATGTCACTCTAAAACCTATTTTATTATTAAATATAGTAGTTGTATAAAATATTAAATATATTCCTTAGCATCTTTTAGTGAGCATATTCACTGAGGTCATTCATATTCCAAACTATTATTGCCATTAATTGTGACAATTCATAAGAAATGCATAGTTTAACTTTTCATTTTTAAGAACATAAAAATTCTTGTTCATTTTGGTACTGTTTCACAACTTACGCAATCTGTAGGAATTTAAAATTATTTTTTAAGCATTCTATGCACAAGGATAGTCTGAATTGAGAGACTATCTATATGACTTTTCTTTGTGATATATTTATGGATACCTACTATAATTTGCCCAGCCATAGGCAATGGTCAAACCAATGATAATAAATTCAAATCTGCAGCTAAAGTATAATGAGACCAAAATTTAATTGATGTGTTTCTGAAAATATCTTCTATAGAGTTTTATTTCATACATTTTTTAATTTTTTAAAAATATTTTTATTTATGCATACAAGAACTGGGGCAAAGGCCAGAGGTGTGGGCGGTGAGAGGACTCACCAGAGACAGAGAAGGGAGCAGAACAGGCTGATTGACTGAAGTACACTGCTGAGGGGAGCAGCGGGAGAGTCAGGAGAGGTCTGCAGTGCCATGTGGATTGCTTCCTATAAGGCGGGGGATCAAACTTGTGCTGCAGCAGCTGTGGACAGCTTCATAGGTTGCGTCTTAACCCCTTGCACCACCAGGGAGGCCCTTATTTCATATTTAATGGTGAAGAAAAATTCAGTACTAAGCTTTCTTATACAGGGACAATAGAAACTTTTCCTACTTTGATATCAATATTCAAATTGTCTCTAATGCTGTAAATAATCCATTTTGTATTAACAAGTCTTTTTCAGATGGTTTGATTTCTTTATATACTTGTTAAATGCACCTAAATGTTCATAATATTTTTGAACTTTGCATTCATGTAGCATTGAAAACAAACCAAAAAATAGTCAAGGCAGAAATATAAGTAAAGAAAGCTACCATTAGGATCCTTGCAAAGCCTTAGGTATTATTAAATCAATGCTTAAATTCTGGGGCTTTAAATATTTGTGTGTGTGTATGTGCAGATGCCTATTCATTTGTCTGATTAATATCTAGAATCAGCCTTTTCTAAATTGCTTAGTCAAGTATGAATCAAAACCACAATAAATAATGTAATAGATTCTTAGAATAATGTTATTCCTTTCAATTGTAGTTCTTTTTCCCAGATGACTAGTGTAACTCACTGAGAAAAATCATAAACCTCCTTTTATCACGAAAATGTCATTCTCTTATGCCTCAGTTTCTACATTTGTACAGTTAGTCATATCATTAAGATTTATTCCAGATGAATCTGAGATTTAAGAAGGAAAATCTCTCATTATGTAAGAAGAATATGCAAATGAAAGTCATTAAATGTCCAGAGTAGAAACTAACAATATTGTGAAAGATGTGCTTTTCCAAGGGAATGCAGGTGAAGAACCAAAAAAAAAAAAAAAAAAAAAAAAGTGAGATAATCAAGTATGTAATGGTTTTCCAATGAGTATTTTCAACTTATTGGGCTCTTCCTTCAATGCAACATAATAGCAAAAAGTTATTGTATGCAGATGCAGCATTTTGGTAAACAGTTAGGTTTTTTACTTATATGATGTCTGGTCTCCAAGTATCACTGAAAAACTGTATGATTCCCTTTTAAAATAGGTAACCAAATGGCACAGCTGTTCTGCTCTAATCAATTAACAGTGTTATGAAAACTCTGTGTTAAAATGGAAATAACAGGTAAACAGTGGTGCCAAAGACTTTTTGTTTGTAGCAAAAATAAAATTGCAGTGCAATTTTCCCCTACTGTAGATTCTCAGATTTCTTTTAAAAGAGAAAAGAAGTGACTAAGAGTCATTGGGCAAACCTCAAAACCAGCAATACATCTCTTTTCCCCAGAGGAATGATCTGAGGAGATCCAGAGATCTGACAGAGTGGGGTTGTTGCTGCCATTAGTGAGGCAAGATAAGAGAGTTCAGTTACATTTTTTTAGTCAAAGACAGACTTCAAAATGGCATGAGTCAAGCTGAGGCATTTTATTTTGCCAGAGTTGGTAAAATTTTAGGGGAAATGCTAAGTGCCTAGAGAAAGATGCACACCTGACCCCAACCACTCTTCATTTATTAATTACACTCTGGGAGACACAGCCAAGACCTCAGGCAAGAGTTGTTACAGAGACAGGTTAACCACAGAACTGAGATGAGGACATGTCAATATCTCTCTCAATTTCAGAGATTTTTTTTTAAATACAGCTATTCAAAGAACTGAATACTATATTACTAAACTTTATGTCATATCCACCAATCATTCTTCCTCAATACAGTAGTGATGACAATTACACATCAAAATCTATAACTTGTAATACTGAAACCATGGAAAATGATTTATTGGTGTCAAAAACTGAAAAACTCGTAGAATAATTTGATGAAAATTATGTGTATATTCCATTTTATATAAAGAGGGATAATTGTAATTTTGACATCACTGTGGTATTACCTAACAACTCAAGTTCTGACCCAGCCTCATATAATGGCATACCTATCTACCTATGTCCTGGAACTTGTACAGATTTTGGATTCCATTAACACACAACCTAGCAAATTATACCAAGGTATTTGGAGCACATGGTAAACAACCTGGAAAAGAAATATATATATATATATATATATTTATATATACATTTTTTTAAATTTATTTATGCATACAAGATCTGGGATACAGGCCAGAGGTATGTATGGGGTGAAAGGATTCACCAGAGACAGAGTGGGGAACATAACAGGCAGATTGACCGAAATACACTGCTGAGGGGAGCAGCGGGCAATTCAGGAGAGGTCTGCTGCACCATGTGAGCAGCTCCCTGGCTGGGGATCGAACTCATGCTGCAGTGACTGCAGAGAGCTTCATAGGTTGTGTCTTAACCCCTTGCGCCACCAGGGAGGCCCAGAAAAGAAAAATACTATGTATTTTAGAAGAAACAGTATTTAAATAGTACCTTGTGGTGAATATTAATTTCTAAATTTCTCTGTAGAATAGAAAGAAGGCATTTTTAGAAATGAGAAAAACTTGTTTTTGATGGGAAGAATCACAATATGACAATATGAGGTAGTTGATAATTTAAACAAGAACACACCACCCTAACTTGTGTGGGGTGGAGTATCAGGCCCCAACACATGACACTATGACATTAATACAAAGAACACACATGTAACTTGATATCTAGTAATCACCCATGATTTTGACAATCCTAACAAGAGTAGAAATCTCCTGCCAAATAACACAGTGATGTGATAATTCTCCCTCTGTTCTGTAATTATGATGTAGGTATCCAATGTACATTGCAAATATACTGTATTTTGAATATTGTATCTACTAGTTAAAAATAGTATAAGAAGTTATTTTTCCTGACCTTCACAAAAGAGGTACAAAAATATGCTGTGGAGAATAAGCAAGATTCGTTCATTAAAAATTTTCTTTATAGATGGCTGGCTGCTTGCGTCTGCATTAAAACAAAATGAAAAAATTTGTTTTAGGTAAATTTCTTTCCAGATCTATGACAGAAAAAAAAATTCTTATTTTAAAAACATAGCAGTGAGTTGTAATCAGGGAAATGCAAATCAAAACTACCATGAGATACCATCTCACACCAGTGAGAATGGCACATATTAAAAAAACTAGCAACAACAAATGTTGGTGAGGGTGTGGAGAAAAAGGAACTCTTGTGCACTGTTGGTGGGAGTGCAAACTGGTCCAACCACTATGGAGAGCTGTGTGGAGATTTCTGGACCTACTAAACATAGAGCTTCCATATGATCCAGCAATTCCACTCCTAGGTATTTACCCAAAGGACACAGAAACATCAATTCCAAAGAGCACCTGCACCCCTATGTTTATAGCAGCACTGTTTACAATAGCTAAGCTTTGGAAACAGCCCAAATGCCCAAAAATAGATGACTGGATCAAGAAGATGTGGTACATATATACCATGGAATATTACTCAGCATTCAAAAAAGATAAACACATGCAATTTGCAGCAACATGGATGGCGCTGGAAGGGATCATGCTCAGCGAAATAAGCCAAAAAGAAAAAGAAAAATACCGGATGGTCTCACTCATAGCAGGAATCTAGAAAACTTAAATAAGGGACCAGGAAAATGAATATAAGAAAGTGAAAATCAAAATCAACAAAAAACTATGAACCAGAGATACTTTTTGGGGGGCGGGAGGGGAAGGATTGGGGTCAGAATGGGGCGTTTGCAATTGCATGGGGGAATATAAAAATAAAATTTATTATTTAAAAAAATAAATAAATAAAAGGTGAGCTTTTCTTCAAAAATAAATAAATAAATAAATAAAAACATAGCAGTGAGGGCCTCCCTGGTGGCACAGCGGTTGAGTGCTGGGTTGCGAAGCTGCCTGCAGCATCTTGCAGCACCGGTTTGATCCCCAGCTGCTCTCCGGCCACCGGAGGAGGGTCCCACATGGCGCGCAGACCTCTCCTGCCGCCCGCTGCTCCTCTCAGCAGTGTACTTCGGTT